CAAGCAAATACGTGGATTGTGTGCAATGTGGTGTTAATAAGAATTTTTCTTAAGATTTTGTTAAAGACACTTTTAACTTTCGACTTTAAAATTTTTCAAATTTAATCCTTTGAGAATTGTCAAATTGACAATTTTAGTCTTTTCACTGTAATTTTCTCACAAGAAATGAACTAAAAAAGTCACTATTATAATAGTTGAAAATCTCAACTATGGATACCAAAAGTGTTTCTCTCAAAACAATGGGACTGAAAGTGAAAAAAAAAAATCAAAGTTACGAAAAACGTTCTGTTGGGATATATTATCCCGGCCTATTACTGTTCAGGAGCCCAAGACATTATCCAGTACAGAGCCCGAGCAGCTAGGCCCGTTTCGGCCCATTCTGGCCCACTTTAGCCATTTGGGCCCATTCCGGTCCATGCGGCCCGTTAGGGTGGAGAGCCCCCTTTCCCCCTATTTCCTATAAATATGGAGCTTAGCCTCCATGTAAAGGATCCTCTTTTAGCTCCATCCTCCTTCTTTTAGACTTAGCTCAATACTCCATTAATGGGAGCTTGTACAATGTAATTGTGAGGAGAGTCCTAATGAGAAAGAGAGGGCTTGGACATTAGCCTAAAAAGTCCCGTGGTTTTCTCCCTTTCGGGTTTCCACGTAAAAACTGAGTGTTCATACATATATTTACTATATCGTGTTGGATTAAACTCAACACTGGCGCCGTCTGTGGGAATCTGTCCAAAAAGATTCGTGTCTTCTACCGTTCTTGAGTTTTCTCCAAAAATTCATACGAAAGAAACTGATTCAGCAAAAAAGAAGGAAAGTCGTTTGGAAGAGTTGGTTTCCAGCAAAGAAAAAAGAAATGAAATGATTCTGAGGAAGGGAAGAAGAAGCTAGGAAGCTACGAAAATCTGGAAAGCCAAATCTGAATTTTTTCCAGATCTGTTTTTGAGGTCACCGGAGCCGCCGTAACCATCCCCGCGCGGCGGACCTCCGGTGAAGTCAGCTGCGCCAGACGAAGCTCGCTGCAGCACCCCAGCTGTTTCAGGCGGCCACCGCCTCAGTCGCACATCACCGCTCGTCATCAGCGACATGGAGCTGACGCGACCTGAAGGAAATTCCGCCATTAATGGCGGCTTGAAGCTTAGGGAAGGTACACCTCGAAGCTCTGCCGGACCCACCTAGCCCGGCCTTGGTCGCTGCCCTTGCGCCGCGGCAACCGCCCGTACCGCCGTCGATGAGGGCTCACGCAGTTGGCCTCGGGTCGGTGGATGGATGCTTCAGCTAGCTTCCCAAAAGATACGAAGTACGGCATATGGATCAGATGCCTTGGTTCTCCAAAGGCCACGTCCACTGGAGGAATGATGGCAGACGGATAAGTTTGGAGCACCTTGACCAAGTCAAATAGCAAGGGAACCAAATTAAATTGAGGAACTCACTGGCCGAAGGTCTATACTAAAGGCTTGGAGCATTAATTTGAGAAGTTCATAGTTGGAGTACTTTTGACCAAAGTCAAAATCGATGGAAGGGAGCGAATCTGGCTGTACGTAGCTCATCACTGGTCGAGCCTCTAACTCGAAAGCTAAGTGCCACACACTCCCTCATTTACTAGTTTTTAAAAGTATTAGAATAATGATGGTATTATGAATATCATTTTTAGTTATTATTACCATTATTTATTAGGGAATAAAATTTTCTGAAATTAAATAATGTCGAGTGATACTCTAGTGATAACTAGTTTCCCCGTCATTTAAATTTAATGACTGGTTGTTGTGAGCCCGTTGGCCCGCTCCCGATCGGCTTTAATTAGCGAACGGAGCGTATCTGAATGACTTATGGTAGGATAATACTATTATTAATACCCGTACATCACTATTATTTATTAGGGATAAAAGTGTCCCGAAATTAAATAATGCAGAGCGAAGCTCTAGTGATAATTAGTTCAGCCAACTTTTTATTAAATATTTAATTGTTGGTAGGGTTCGATTAGCCCACTCTCGATCGGCTTTGATTAGCGATCTGAGCGTCTCCCGAGGGTAGTGTCCCGATGACGCGTTTTAATTTGGGGGTTACGCAATAGTCCGCACGGCACCAAGTGCTCGAGCGACGATAGTACCCTAGTACCACCTGCGCCACTAGGCGAGGTGACTGTGCCAAACGTGGCCTGTGGGGCCCGAGGGCACCAAAGCACTCAACCTCGTTTTTCCGAGGGTAGTGCGACCAACTTGGGTCTGAGTTTGAAAACTCACAGACCGATGAATATCTCTATGTGACGTTCGGCGGGCTGCTAGTTGGCCCCGCCGCGAGCTACTACGTCCATTAACCCTGCACGATGAGCCGGGCCGAGGGTCACGATAACCCATAGGCCGGTAATCGTGGATGTTAGAAAGAAAGCCATGTAGATGGTTATGTGTGTATACATATTGTCGGGCCGTGCGGCCCGTTATCATGCTTATTGCGCAGCTGAAGCCACTCGACGCGTTCGAGCGAAATGATTAAAAGACGCTCGGCCCAAGTCTTGGAGACGTTCAGGGCCAGCTAAAGAGGGGACCACCACGGTTGAGAACCGTGGGACGAGCATCTCCACCCCAGAGACCGATTGCCTAGGAAGAACACCTAGAGGCCGAAGGTCTAGAGGGGACTGCCACGGCGAAGAACCGTGAGACGATCATCCATCATTCAGAGGCCGAAGGCCTAGAGAAGACCGTCACGGCCGAGGGCCAACTGACACAATCATATCACGACCGGCCTCTCGGCACGGCGTGATTATCATCTTTTAAGACCGGCCTCGTCCCCGAGCTGCGTGGAGGAGGACCGTTGCTGGATTTTAGGTCGGCCTCTCATTGCCGACATCATCATATCACGACCGGCCTCTCGGCACGGCGTGATTATCTTATTTGAAGACCGGCCTCGTCCCCGCACTGCGCGGATGAGGACCGTTGCTTGGTTTTTTTAGGTCGGCCTCTCATCGCCGACATCATTATATCACGACCGGCCTCTCGGACCGGCGCAATTATCATATTCGAAGATCGGCCTCGTCCCCGCCACCTCGCGGACGAGGACCGTTGCTTGACCATATCTTGATCGGCATCTCATTGCCGACATTATCATACCACGACCGGCCCCTCGGCTCGGCGTGTTCATCTTTTGAAGACCGGCCTCGTCCCCACACCTCGCGGACGAGGACCGTTGCTTGATTCTTTCAGGTCGGCCCCTCATCGCCGACATCATTATATCACGACCGGCCTCTCGGACCGGCGCGATTATCATATTCGAAGATCGGCCTCGTCCCCGCCACCTCGCGGACGAGGACCGTTGCTTGACCATATCTTGATCGGCATCTCATTGCCGACATTATCATACCACGACCGGCCCCTCGGCTCGGCGTGTTCATCTTTTGAAGACCGGCCTCGTCCCCACACCTCGCGGACGAGGACCGTTGCTTGATTCTTTCAGGTCGGCCCCTCATCGCCGACATCATTATATCACGACCGGCCTCTCGGACCGGCGCGATTATCATATTCGAAGATCGGCCTCGTCCCCGCCACCTCGCGGACGAGGACCGTTGCTTGACCATATCTTGATCGGCATCTCATTGCCGACATTATCATACCACGACCGGCCCCTCGGCTCGGCGTGTTCATCTTTTGAAGACCGGCCTCGTCCCCACACCTCGCGGACGAGGACCGTTGCTTGATTCTTTCAGGTCGGCCCCTCATCGCCGACATCATTATATCACGACCGGCCTCTCGGACCGGCGCGATTATCATATTCGAAGATCGGCCTCGTCCCCGCCACCTCGCGGACGAGGACCGTTGCTTGACCATATCTTGATCGGCATCTCATTGCCGACATTATCATACCACGACCGGCCCCTCGGCTCGGCGTGTTCATCTTTTGAAGACCGGCCTCGTCCCCACACCTCGCGGACGAGGACCGTTGCTTGATTCTTTCAGGTCGGCCCCTCATTGCCGACATCATTACATCACGACCGGCCTCTCGGACCGGCGTGATTATCATATTCGAAGACCGGCCTCGTCCCCGCCACCTTGCGGACGAGGACCGTTGCTTGACCATATCTTGATCGGCATCTCATTGCCGACATTATCATACCACGACTGGCCCCTCGGCTTGGCGTGTTCATCTTGATGGTCCTGGATAGGGTAAAAGTCTAGAGGGTGGGGGGGGGGTGAATAGACTTTTAAATCTTTTTCAACTTTTTCAAGTTTTTGCCTCTAGATGAATTGATCTATAATCTTTTGAGAGATTAATAGATGCACAGCGGAAGTCTTTACCCTTTTTCTAATGAGTGTGTGACAACTTTCTACCTTGAATGATGTTTGGACTTTAAACTGTGAGCAGTTGGCTTGGCAGTTGGCTAGATGGCAGGGAACTGCTGAGGCAACTGCCAGTTGAAAATAGGAGTTTGAGAAAGATGATAATATGGCCTTGCAGAGAATGATGAGGGCTTTCTGAATATATGTTGAGCTGAAGATAGTAAAGAGTTTTGCCTGAGCAGTGGTCTGAGCAGTTGGGTAATCCCAGGAAACTGCTAAGCCGTCTGCTGCTTATAAAGAGGTATCTTTGAGGACTGACCAACCACACCTTTTAGTAGTGATATTTAAAGCTTGTGGGAAACAGAAGTCTCAAGGAAAAGTGAGTTATTAAGCAGTAGGATAAGCAGTAGAGTCAATTAAGACGACTGCTTAGGATGCTGCTGGCAAACTACGATCCCTTTAGTGAGAAGTGTTGAGTGTGTGCTTTGGTGAGTAAAGGAGAATCAACACACGATGTATCCTGGTTCAGAGGTGGTGTAATCCTCCTACATCCAGTCCCACCCTATTTCAGATGGATTTCCACTAAAGTATTAAGCCCAATACACTTAGTGCCAATCTAGCCTTTACAACACTTAGGCCTAGATTGAAGGTTTTTCACAATGAGTATAACACCACTCAAAGTTACTCAGTCCTTAGACTTTTCTCAATTGATCCAGTGGGGATCAAAAGGTACTCTATCTATCTAACTACACTTTAGGATCCGAACAACTGTTCTCCTAAGTGTTTACAACCACTTGTGAAATGTTACAAGAAAGTTCTAACCTCCAACTATGAACTAAGCTCTAAAAATGTGAAAGTGTTGATCTAATCTAAGAGCTTAGTGAAGCATGAGGCTAAGCAGAGAGTAAAGTTGAGTTTGCACTTTCTCTTTTTGCTAGATAGCTTCGTATATGCTTTGATGAAAGTATTTCTCTGCTTAGAATGCTCAAGCTTGTTTTTGAACTCATGCTTCTACCTATATTTATAGGCCTTCATGGTTGATCAATCTCATCCGTTGGTTGAGATGGATTAATCTTGTGCGTTGAGGGTCTGGCAAGGACGAATTGTACATTTGTCGTCTTGTGCAGGAGCTTTTAATATTTTTGTTTTCTGTCTTGAATGATTGGGCTGCGGTATGGGTGTGTCTTCAGCCGCTGCAGCTTCACTCCAAGAAGTCCTCCCATGCTGTAGGACCGTGTATTTAATTTTTGTCTTCCAATCAATATTCAATGTATTCGAGCATCTCAAATGTGACCTATATTTAATCTTTGAGTAAAATGATATATGCCGGTAGGATTTAAATTTCCTATGAAGGTAAAAAGATACCTTATTGCATTTTTATGTATCCGGTAATATATCATTAATCTTAAAGATTGTACATTTATTTTTGTCACTTATGATTTAAATTTAAATGTTACTTCTGAAAATAAGACTCAATGTAAATTTGTTTAGTATAGTGGCATCATCAAAATCTATCAAAATTGGAGACTAACAATTTCCCCCTTTTTGATGATGCCAAAACTATACAACACAAGAAACAACTGTTTTTATTGATTTGTATTGAGAGTATTGTACATTGGTCTATAGTCTAAAGTACAATAGTTTTTAGTCACTTTCGGACTTGAGAACTGGTCTATTCTTGTTTCTTCTTAGCAGCTTCTTCCTTGGCTTTGGCTTCTTCTTCCTTTCTTCTTCTTATCTCAGCTTCTTCTTTGTAGAGTTTGTTTTTTCTTCTTGTTGCAGCTGCTTTCTTTGCTGCTGCTGATCTGGAGGAGGAGGAACCTGCTTGAGTTGTCCTTTCCCCCTTTTTGGCATCATCAGCAGGGGTCTCACTCTCTTTGAAGAGTGCTTCTATTTCTGGGTCAGAGTCAGGATCTTCAATTTGCCTCCTTGATGGATCCAGACCATATACTTCGATGGACAGGGCCTTGATATGATTATTGACGTCCAAAAGATCTGTTTTGACTTCATCTTTGACCTCATTCTCTAATCTTTGAAGCTTGTCCTGTGTAGCTACTAGGCTCTGACCTAGTTTCTGAAAGTCAGACCCTTGCTTCCAAAAGGTGTCCTGAGTAGCCTTTTGAAGAACTTGAAAGTTGTGAGCAACGTCTTTAGTGAGCTGTTCATAGGCTCTAGCATGAGCCTGCTGGTCCATAAGGAATTTCTGAGAGAGCTTGAACATGGCAGGGAACTCCTCATTCCTTAGTTTCAGGAGGTACTCTTCATGTTCTTGAACCTGTTTAAGAGCCTGATCGAGGGTAGGTGGAGGAGAAGTTAGGGAAGGTACCTGATCAGATGGTCCTGCTACAGTTGGCTGATCTTTTTGTTGCCTTTGAAGTTCTAGTATCTGTCTTTCGAGATCCTCATTTCGGGCTTTGAGTGCATCAAGCTCCTGCTTGATCTCTGTATTAAGAGCTGACTGCTGGGAGGTTCTTGTTTTGAGGAGAGCTCTTTGCTCAGCATTGAATACTTGTTGGATCATGGAGTCTTTTCGTATATGACTGTGGATTTCTCCAAATCTGATGTCCAACCTTTCCTCTAGCTGCTTTTTCATCTTGATCAGTCTTTTGTGTAGTCGGACCTCTGCGCGGCTAATGAATTGTGTGGTAGCCCTTCTTTCTTTGATGAAGACACCTGCCAGGGTAGTAGTGTCTTCTTCATTGTCTTCAGGTTCTAGGATGAATGTTGGAGAGTGTTGCTCTATGTTTTGAGTAGATGCTTGAGAGTGTGCACTATGTTGCAGTGGGCTGAGCAGTGGGTTGAGGTGGAGTAGTGGCAGCATGTTGCTCAGTGGGTTGTTGATCTTCTACCTCCACTGAAAATGGACTTAGAGATTTTGGTGAGTGAGGCCATTTGTGGGTTTGTGAGAAGATTTGGTGATTGCGGAAGTGGTGTGTTTGAGAGTTTTTAGAGAAGGCTTAGAGAGTGTATGAGAGCTTGAGAGATGTAGAGAGATTGCAAGGTGAAAAGTGTTGGTGGATTGTACGGAGAAAATATTTATAGGCTATCGGGTACTAGCCGTTGGAATATAGCCGTTGGAAAATACGGCTGGTTCCTTCTAGCATTTATTGAGTTTATACTGGTAGCAGGGGGCTCTGGCTTGGGTAAATTTGATGTTCTTTGAAATCCTTGATATAGGGAGATCAAGATGATATACGCCACGAGCTGAGATTTCATGTATGTTGACCAGAAAGTGAGCCAACTGCTGTCCTAAGACAGGCTTCTGCTCCTGAGGCAGACATCTGCTGGCAGACATCTGTTCGAATTTGTGAACTAGTGTCTTTACCTCCATTTTTTTTTGTTCCAAGCTTGTACTCTTCTTTATGAAAGTATTAATTCAATTCCTCTTGTTACACATGTAGCAGTGGTCTATTTGGTCAGTTGCCTGCTGACCCTACTGCTGTCTTGAGTAGTCACCTGCTGAGCTTACTTCTTGAATTTTGATTCCCTCTTTCTTTTGAACGTCTGAGATAGACCTTCTTGGACCTTGATGCTTCATTCCTTTTGGATTGTGAGTAGCCTGAGATGGCTACCCCTGTTAGTTCCCCCTCAGCAGATGGCTAGGAATTCCCCCTTGATTATGGAATTAGGTTCCCCCTGAATAGATGCAGGGTTATTCCCTTACTTGATCTAGATCATCTAACATACCAAGCTCTTGCCTTAGTTGGTTGAATCTAGCTTCATTCAATGGTTTGGTGAAGATGTCAGCCAGCTGCTTTTCGGTGGGGATGTACTCAAGCTTGATGGTTTTCTTCTCAACATGCTCTCTGATAAAGTGGTGCCTGATCTCAATATGCTTGGTTCTTGAGTGAAACACAGGATTATGAGTGATAGCTATAGCACTTGTGTTGTCACACAGTATGCTAATCTCCTTTGTTTCTTCTCCATAATCCTTTAATTGTTGTTTCATCCAAAGAACTTGAGCACAGCAGCTGCCTGCAGCTATATATTCAGCTTCGGCAGTGCTTGTAGCAATTGAGCTTTGTTTCTTGCTGAACCATGAAACAAGTCTTCCACCAATTAATTGACAAGTTCCTGAGGTGCTTTTTCTATCAATTTTGCATCCGGCAAAGTCAGAGTCCGAATAACCATAGAGTTCAAAACCTCCATTTGTTGGGTACCATAATCCAGAGTTAGGATTGCCTTTTAGATACCTCAGAATTTTCTTGGCAGCTAGAAGATGGCTTTCCTTAGGCTTAGATTGAAACCTTGCACACACACCAACTGAGTAGGAAATATCTGGCCGACTAGTGGTGAGATATAACAAGGAACCAATCAGACCTCTGTAAAGTGTGGGATCAACATCTTTGCCATCATCATCCTGACTTAGACCTTGGGATGTATTCATGGGTATTTTCACAGTTGACTTGTTTTCGACCTTGAACTTTTTCATGAGATCTCTTGTATATTTGGCTTGGTTGATGAAGATACCTTGAGGAGTCTGCTTCACTTGTAGTCCCAGAAAATAATTCAACTCTCCCATCATGCTCATTTCAAACTTGCTTTGCATGAGAGTTGAAAATTTCTCACACAATGCTTGATTTGAACTTCCAAAAATTATGTCATCAACATAGATTTGAACAAGCAATATGTGGGGACCTTCTTCAATTTTGAATAAAGTCTTGTCTACTTTGCCCTTAGTGAATCCATTATTCACTAAGTAATCAGAGAGAGTGTCATACCATGCTCTTGGGGCTTGTTTGAGTCCATAAAGAGCTTTATGCAGTTTGTAGACTAGATCCTTCTCTCTATTGATTTCAAAACCAGGAGGTTGCTCCACATAGACCTCCTCTTCTAGTAGACCGTTTAGGAAGGCACTTTTCACATCCATTTGATAGACTGTGAATTGCTTGTGAGCAGCATAAGCCAAGAATATTCTTATTGCTTCTAATCTAGCAACAGGAGCAAAGGTTTCATCAAAATCTATACCTTCTTCCTGGCAGTAGCCTTTGGCTACCAGTCTTGCCTTGTTCTTGACAATGGTGCCTTCCTCATCCATTTTGTTTCTGAACACCCATTTAGTTCCTATCACATGTTGATGATAGGGTCTGGATACAAGCTCCCATACATTATTTCTTTCAAACTGGTTGAGTTCTTCTTGCATGGCTTGTATCCAGTCAGAGTCCAGTAGGGCTTCTTCAATTTTCTTGGGTTCAATTTGTGAGATGAAGCATGAGAATAGTGCCTCTTTTTGAATTGCTGATCTAGTACGAACCCCTTCATGGATGTTTCCAATAATCTGTTGTGGTGGATGTTGATTCAGCCATCTAATGTCAGATGTCTGATTGATGTTGGTTTGGATTTGTTGGTCATCCTCTTCTTCTTCTTCGTCACTATCTTCTGGTAGAGTAGGGTGATTATGAATTTTATGAGGGTCTGGAGGGATGTTTGTGGGTGAGTCACCTGCTGGCAGTGAGCTGACAGTTGAGTCAACTGCTGGCCGTGGACTGACATTAGATTCAGCTATCTTTTCTTTATCATTTTCTGGAAGGCAGCTCGGAGCCTTTCCAGTGTCCCTTTTTGAGTTAGATGACTCACCTTCTTCTTTTGATTGAGCAGTGGGGTGCTTTTCAAAAACCACATGGATTGATTCTTCTACCACAAGAGTTCTTTTGTTGAGGATCCGGAATGCCTTGCTTGTTGCTGAGTAGCCCAGGAAGATCCCTTCATCAGATTTGGGATCAAATGGCTTGAGATAGTCTTTTCCATTGTTTAGAATGAAGCATTTGGATCCAAACACATGGAAATGACTGACATTAGGCTTTCTTTCTTTCCATAGTTCATATGGAGTCTTTTTGTAAGTCTTATGAATGAGACTTCTATTCTGTGTGTAGCAAGTAGTGTTGATGGCTTCTGCCCAAAATCTTTTGGGTAAACCAGCTGCTTCTAAGACTGTCCTTCCGGCTTCTTTGAGAGTTCTATTCCTTCTTTCAGCAACACCATTTTGTTGAGGTGTTCTTGCTGCTGAGGTTTGGTGATGAATTCCATTTTCCTCACAGTACTGAATTATTATATAATTAATAAATTCAGTACCTCTATCTGACCGGATCTTTTGAATTGAGAGGCTTTTCTCATTTTGAATTAGTCTCATTAATTCAGGGAGCTTCTTTTCTGTCTCATTCTTCTTCTTTAGGAATATGGTCCAGGTGTATCTTGAGTAATCATCAACCACAACTAGAGTGTACCTTCTACCACTTAAGCTCGTTGGTTCTACTGGTCCAAACAAGTCAAGATGTAGTAGGCTTAAGGGCCTGGTTGATGATTCCACTTCCTTTGATTTGAATGATACCTTGGTTTGTTTTCCTTTTTGACAAGCATCACAGAGGTGGTCCTTTTTGAAGTTGATTTCAGGAAGTCCTTTCACCAATCCTTTTCTGGACAATTTGTTGATTGTTTTGAAGTTGAGATGGCTTAATTTGTTGTGCCATTCCCAACTCAAATTTGAATCTGCCTTTGTCACCAAGCAGATCCCTTCCTTAGCTGAGCTCCAATCAACAATGTACATGTCCTTCTTCCTTCTACCAGTGAGCACAGTTTTGTCATTTTTGACATCTCTAATCAAGCAGATGTCTTTGGAGAATGTAACATTATAGCCATTGTCACAGAGCTGGCTTGTGCTTATGAGATTGAACTTTAATCCTTTAACATAAGATATGTTTTGGATTGTAAGTTCATTGATGGATAGGTCTCCAACTCCTTTGGTTTCTCCTTGTTTTTCCACATTCCCAAAAGTAACTTTGGGTCCTTCGCTTGCCATATAGTTTGACAGGAGCCGCCTGCTGCCTGTCATGTGCCTGGAGCAGCCTGAATCTATGTACCATGTTTGTGAGTCAACTGCTCCAGCACCTTCCTGTATTCATCATTGTTGAGCAGTAGCCCACAAGTTAGTGGGCAACTTCCTTTGTACAAGTTTGGGCATCCATGCCCATCTAGAACCATTTAGTTCTAAGCAGATTGGTCTATAGCCATTTGAAGTATTATAATCATGGGGGATGGCTACGTAATTGTTAATCCTTTTTCTTCTTGAAGTGGAAAATGGATTATTGACTTTTGGAGGAGACTGCTTAGTGTTTTGACTGTGGTTGGTCTTATTGGTTGATTGCCAACGGGTTCTTGGGTTTTGATGGTTGGGAAGTTTTTGTCTATACAGGAGATTGGATTTTGATTTGGGAGCAGGCAGGTTCCTTCTTATGGGAACATTCTGAGAATGGGATTTTTGGTAGATTAGCTTTCTTGTATTTTGTTGGTGGCTTGTGGAGGGTGAGTTTTGAGTGAGTCTGGTGGGGGATATGTAACACCCCGCCCCGTAGGGCCCGGGGTAGCTACTTCAGACCAATAGTACTGTCCCCACAAACCACCACGAGCCTTTACCACGCACTTTGTCCTCACTCGTGCGCGCCCTGAGAAACTTCCCAGGGGGTCACCCATCCCAAGACTACTCCCGTGCAAGCACGCTTAACTTTGGAGTTCTTGGGTGATGAGCTCCCTTAAAAGGAGATGCACCTCTGTTGGTATGAGTAGTACTATTAATCCGTTTATATTAAATCTCAAGTGTTACAATCACCCCCACTTAGGTACGCAACGTCCTCGTTGCGCCCATAAACAAATCTCAATTCTCATTCAATCCCAGAGATTCTTGTCCTGCTAAGTGCCCGCCCGATATCTAACGGGTCAGCACACGGTCGCAGGGTTGCTCTGATACCACCTGTAACACCCCGGCCCCGCAGGGCCCGAGGTAGTTACTCCGGACCAATAGTACTGTCCCCACAAACCACCACGAGCCTTTACCACGCACTTTGTCCTCACTCGTGCGCGCCCTGAGAAACTTCCCAGGGGGTCACCCATCCCAAGACTACTCCCGTGCAAGCACGCTTAACTTTGGAGTTCTTGGGTGATGAGCTCCCTTAAAAGGAGATGCACCTCTGTTGGTATGAGTAGTACTATTAATCCGTTTATATTAAATCTCAAGTGTTACAGGATACATATCCGAGGCCTCTTCTCTTCTTATTTAAAACAACTTCAGTAGTTGAGTCACTGGTTTTACTATCCATGCTGAAGTTATTCATTTTGTCTTTCAGCTCTTTGTTCTCTTCTTCTAAGACATTGTTTTTGGTTAAGGCATCTAGCAATCTTGTGTGAACAACCTTAATGTCTTGTTTTAATCTATCATTTTCTGATCTTAAGAGAACATGGTGATTTTGGACTTTTTGGAAATCTTGTAATAAAGATTCCAGTGTAATATTGGTTGGTCCAGAATCACTAGAGCTATAAGAAGAGCAGGATGTTACCTCAACATCATTGTAGTGGTCTTTGGCCATTAGGCATTTAGGGGACCTGTATTCATCATCTTCACTGAGCCATCTGCTGCTTTCTTCAGTGAGCCAGCTGCCGCCTTTTTCAGCCACCTGCCAGGATCCCAGGCATAGAAGTGCTTCCTCTGAGCTTTCAGATGAAGAGCTTTCATTGCTTGAGCTGCTTTCATCTTCAGATTGGGGTTCCTCCTTTTTCTTTTCACTTACAAAAGCTTGTCTTTTGCTTTTGAAGTCCCTCTTGTAACTAGCTTTGAGACCAGTCGCCTGCTGCCCTTGATACTTCTGGGCTAAGGGCAGAGGGCATTCATTTTTGTAATGTCCTGGCTGTCTACAGTTGTAGCATAGAACAGTTTCCTCACTGGATTGAGGTCTCCCTTGTCTTCTAGGTGGCAGGTTGTATGCTTTCTTTGGAGCAGTTCCCTCCTTCTTCATGAATCTTTTAAATTTCCTCACAAACATAGCAAACTGCTCGTCAGTGAGGAGATTATTGAGGGATTTTTCAGCAGATTTTGAAGTGCTTGGCTCAGATACTAGAGCTAGTGTCTTGTATTCATCTTCCTTCTCTTCTTTGATCTCCTTCATTTCAAATTCATAGGCCTTGAGATCACTAAAGAGTTTGTCGGTTGACAGAGTTCTGAGATCTCTGCTATCTCTCATAGCAGTTACCTTCATGTCCCATTTTGATGGCAGGCCTCTCAAGATTTTGAGGGAAATCTCCTTTTGAGATAGTTCTTTCCCAAGGTCAGAGACCTCTGCCACAATCTTCAGGAATCTGGATTCCATCTCATGGATAGATTCAGTTGACAGCATTTTGAAATCCTCAAATTTCTTGAGGGCTATGGTCAGTTTATTGTCCTTCTCCTGTTCATCTCCTGCTCCAATCTTTGTGAGCTCATCCCAGACATCTTTGGCAGTTTCGCATTTCCTGATTCTGGGAAATATAGATTCATCAACAGATTTGAAGAGAATGTCCTTGGCAATGTTGTCAAGATTGTTTCTCTTCCTGTCCTCAGTTGTCCATTCCATTTTGGGTTTTGGAATGTACACATCATCTGTTCCTTCTGTGGTTCTGGATGTGATGACCTTCATTATTTTGATAGGTCCATCAGTAATTACTTCAAGCATCTCATCATGTAAAGCACTGAGATGTGCTTTCATCCTTATTTTCCAGTCATCAAATTTGTTCAAGTTGAACAGAAGGTTCTTTGCTAACTGACTGTCCATTTTAGAAGGTGTTTGGGAAGTAGAGTGGCTTGGATCTTTAGTTCAAATTAGTCAGAAACTGACTCTAGGAACACTCAGCTCTGATACCACTTGATGGTCCTGGATAGGGTAAAAGTCTAGAGGGGGGGGTGAATAGACTTTTAAATCTTTTTCAACTTTTTCAAGTTTTTGCCTCTAGATGAATTGATCTATAATCTTTTGAGAGATTAATAGATGCACAGCGGAAGTCTTTACCCTTTTTCTAATGAGTGTGTGACAACTTTCTACCTTGAATGATGTTTGGACTTTAAACTGTGAGCAGTTGGCTAGATGGCAGGGAACTGCTGAGGCAACTGCCAGTTGAAAATAGGAGTTTGAGAAAGATGATAATATGGCCTTGCAGAGAATGATGAGGGCTTTCTGAATATATGTTGAGCTGAAGATAGTAAAGAGTTTTGCCTGAGCAGTGGTCTGAGCAGTTGGGTAATCCCAGGAAACTGCTAAGCCGTCTGCTGCTTATAAAGAGGTATCTTTGAGGACTGACCAACCACACCTTTTAGTAGTGATATTTAAAGCTTGTGGGAAACAGAAGTCTCAAGGAAAAGTGAGTTATTAAGCAGTAGGATAAGCAGTAGAGTCAATTAAGACGACTGCTTAGGATGCTGCTGGCAAACTACGATCCCTTTAGTGAGAAGTGTTGAGTGTGTGCTTTGGTGAGTAAAGGAGAATCAACACACGATGTATCCTGGTTCAGAGGTGGTGTAATCCTCCTACATCCAGTCCCACCCTATTTCAGATGGATTTCCACTAAAGTATTAAACCCAATACACTTAGTGCCAATCTAGCCTTTACAACACTTAGGCCTAGATTGAAGGTTTTTCACAATGAGTATAACACCTCTCAAAGTTACTCAGTCCTTAGACTTTTCTCAATTGATCCAGTGGGGATCAAAAGGTACTCTATCTATCTAACTACACTTTAGGATCCGAACAACTGTTCTCCTAAGTGTTTACAACCACTTGTGAAATGTTACAAGAAAGTTCTAACCTCCAACTATGAACTAAGCTCTAAAAATGTGAAAGTGTTGATCTAATCTAAGAGCTTAGTGAAGCATGAGGCTAAGCAGAGAGTAAAGTTGAGTTTGCACTTTCTCTTTTTGCTAGATAGCTTCGTATATGCTTTGATGAAAGTATTTCTCTGCTTAGAATGCTCAAGCTTGTTTTTGAACTCATGCTTCTACCTATATTTATAGGCCTTCATGGTTGATCAATCTCATCCGTTGGTTGAGATGGATTAATCTTGTGCGTTGAGGGTCTGGCAAGGACGAATTGTACATTTGTCGTCTTGTGCAGGAGCTTTTAATATTTTTGTTTTCTGTCTTGAATGATTGGGCTGCGGTATGGGTGTGTCTTCAGCCGCTGCAGCTTCACTCCAAGAAGTCCTCCCATGCTGTAGGACCGTGTATTTAATTTTTGTCTTCCAATCAATATTCAATGTATTCGAGCATCTCAAATGTGACCTATATTTAATCTTTGAGTAAAATGATATATGCCGGTAGGATTTAAATATCCTATGAAGGTAAAAAGATACCTTATTGCATTTTTATGTATCCGGTAATATATCATTAATCTTAAAGATTGTACATTTATTTTTGTCACTTATGATTTAAATTTAAATGTTACTTCTGAAAATAAGACTCAATGTAAATTTGTTTAGTATAGTGGCATCATCAAAATCTATCAAAATTGGAGACTAACACATCTTTTGAAGACCGGCCTCGTCCCCACACCTCGCGGACGAGGACCGCTGCTTGGTTCTTTCAGGTCGGCCTATCAGTGCCGACACCATTATATCACGACCGGCCTCCCGGCTCGGCGTGCTTATCATATTTGAAGACCGGCCTCACCCTGCTCCTCGCGGATGAGGGCCGTTGCTTGATTCTGTCAGGTCGGCCTCTCATTGCCGACATCATTACATCACGACCGGCCTCCCGGCTCGGCGTGTTTATCATATTTGAAGACCGGCCTCATCCCCGCTCCTCGCGGATGAGGGTCGTTGCTTGATTCTTTCAGGTCGGCCCCTCACTACCGACACTATCATGTTATGTTCGGCCTCTCGGCACGACATATTTATCTTTTGAAGACCGGTTTCATCCCCGCGCTGCGTGGATGAGAGCCGTTGCTCGGATATATCGGCCTGATCGGACACTATTGTCATCTCCTTATCAGGACCGACTGCTCAGCGGCATTATGATCATTATTTGTCGGCTCCCAATGCCGATCCTCTTGAGTTTGTGATCGGGCTCACGACTCCCCTCCAGGAGGGTGACCATCGCCTTCGCATGACGACCAGCTATTCTATCGCCTCGTCATTATATTGTTCGCTATGCCACCACCATTATGTGTGACATCCCGTGATCCCTGCGAGTTTCTTGGACGCCGAATGTCTTCTTCGATGTAGGAAGATCGGTAGGACCACGGACCAGGGACGGACAAAGAAGAGCTAGGGAATCTCGATGTAGATAAACCTGTTCCTCCTTGCGAGTTTCGCGGATACCGAACGTCTCTTCGAAGCAAGAGCGCCGGTAGGACCAAGAACCAAGGACGAACGAAGAATATAGATTGCCTCCCTCAAAAAAAAAAAAGAAAAAAAAAAGATGGGGAGAAGAGGAGGTGAGCTCCTATGTGGAAGGGAATCTTGCCCGGGTGTGCCAGATCTTCTCCCACCGCCGAAGACGAACGCCTCTCGATGTAGAGGTTAGTAGAGACGCGGAGGGGGCTAGACGAACCAAGGGAGCCTTGCCAAGATAAACCTGTTCATCCCACAAACGACCATGGATCGATGGACGTGGGATAACAAAGCCGGGAACCCGTGAGGGTAAACCAGTTCGTCCCTGCGAGTTCCTTGGATACCGAACGTCCTCTTCGAAGCAAGAGACGCCGGTAGGACTAAAAGGACCACGGACGAACGAAAAAGGGGGAATCTCGATGCAGATAAACCTGTTCCTCCTTGCGAGTTTCGAGGATACCGGACGTATCTTCGAAGTAAGGACGCCGGTAGGACCAAGAACCAAGGACGAACGAAGACTAAAAGACTCTAAAAAAAAAAAAAGATGCCAGAAGAGCACGGAGCAAAGAATGATTTTATCCCTCGGCGCTATTGGCCGGGAAGTACAAACTGAAAAACATATATAAAGAATAATTACAAAACTTAAGTACGAAGAATGAAGTGGCCGACGACGATCGGCTAACATCAGGCTTTCTTTTGCCTTGGACGACGAATACCAGCTCCCCAGATCAGACGGAGGGACATCACCCAGATTTTTTTCAGGCTCACCATTCCTTCCTGGATGGAGTCCTGGCAGACGATCGGCTTCTCACAGCCAATCAGGATAGAGACTTGACACATCACCAGCACGGCCGAGGGCCGTGAGACGATTACCACTCACGATTATCACTATTTTTATGCAGTACGATCGGCCCCTCAGCGCCATCGTACCCAGCTCACGTTCAGCTCGTCCATCCCTTCCAGGGTGGCGACGAACGTCTTATGCATCACGATCGGCTTCTCAGCGCCATCGTGTCTCTTTCACGTTCGGATCGCCCCATTCCCTTCCAGGATGGCGACGAACGTCTTATGCAGTGTGATCGGCCCCTCAGCGCCATCGTACCCAGCTCACGTTCAGCTCGTCCACCCCTTCCAGGATGGCGACGAACGTCTTATGCAGTGCGATCGGCCCCTCAGCGCCATCGTACCCAACTCACGTTCAGCTCGTCCATCCCTTCCAGGATGGCGACGAACGTCTTGTGCAGTGCGATCGGCCCCTCAGCGCCATCGTACCCAGCTCACGTTCAGCTCGTCCATCCCTTCCAGGGTGGCGACGAACGTCTTATGCATCACGATCGGCTTCTCAGCGCCATCGTGTCTCTTTCACGTTCGGATCGCCCCATTCCCTTCCAGGATGGCGACGAACGTCTTATGCAGTGCGATCGGCCCCTCAGCGCCATCGTACCCAGCTCACGTTCAGCTCGTCCATCCCTTCCAGGGTGGCGACGAACGTCTTATGCATCACGATCGGCTTCTCAGCGCCATCGTGTCTCTTTCACGTTCGGATCGCCCCATTCCCTTCCAGGATGGCGACGAACGTCTTATGCAGTGCGATCGGCCCCTCAGCGCCATCGTACCCAGCTCACGTTCAGCTCGTCCATCCCTTCCAGGATGGCAACGAACGTCTTATGCAGTGCGATCGGCCCCTCAGCGCCATCGTACCCAGCTCACGTTCAGCTCGTCCATCCCTTCCAGGGTGGCGACGAACGTCTTATGCATCACGATCGGCTTCTCACCGCCATCGTGTCTCTTTCACGTTCGGATCGCCCCATTCCCTTCCAGGATGGCGACGAACGTCTTATGCAGTGCGATCGGCCCCTCAGCGCCATCGTACCCAGCTCACGTTCAGCTCGTCCATCCCTTCCAGGGTGGCGACGAACGTCTTATGCATCACGATCGGCTTCTCAGCGCCATCGTGTCTCTTTCACGTTCGGATCGCCCCATTCCCTTCCAGGATGGCGACGAACGTCTTATGCAGTGCGATCGGCCCCTCAGCGCCATTGTACCCAGCTCACGTTCAGCTCGTCCATCCCTTCCAGGGTGGCGACGAACGTCTTATGCATCACGATCGGCTTCTCAGAGCCATCGTGTCTCTTTCACGTTCGGATCACCCCATTCCCTCCAGGATGGCGACGAACGTCTTATGCAGTGCGATCGGCCCCTCAGCGCCATCGTACCTGGCTTCACGGTTCGGCTCGCCCATACCCTCCGGGATGGCGACGACCGTCTTATGCAGCACGATCGGCTTCTCAGCGCCATCGTGTCTCTTTCACGTTCGGGTCGCCCACTCCTTCCAGGATGGCGGCGAACGTCTCTTATGCAGCACGATCAGCGCCCCAGCGCCATCGTGTCTGGCTCACGTTAGGGTCGCCCATTCCCTTTCAGGATGGCGACGAACGTCTCTTATGCAGCACGATCAGCGCCCCAGCGCCATCGTGTCTGGCTCACGTTAGGGTCGCCCATCCCTTTCAGGATGGCGGCGAACGTCTCTCATGCAGCACGATCAGCGCCCCAGGGCCATCGTGTCTGGCTCACGTTAGGGTCGCCCATCCCTTTCAGGACGGCGACGAACGTCTCTTATGCAGCACGATCAGTGCTTCCGCGCCATCGTGTCTAGCTCACGTTAGGGTCGCCCATCCCTTTCAGGATGGCGACGAACGTCTCTTATGCAGCACGATCAGCGCCCCAGTGCCATCGTGTCTGGCTCACATTAGGGTCGCCCATCCCTTTCAGGATGGCGACGAACGTCTCTTATGCAGCACGTCTGCCTCTCGGCGCTGACATGCCCGGTTTATCGACGAGAGCCACCGCTTTCTATCACATCTCACATTCCTTCTCTCATACATTGCACCCATACATTACATGCATTCATGCATTCATGCATCATACCTCATACATTCATACATACACACGTGCATCGTGTTTTGACAGTACCGCGACGTCGGTTTATAGATGCATGGACCTCCAAGCTTCTCCGATTGGAAAGCTCGAGTCAGAGTCCTTTACTCCCCGCCTGATGCATTCAGGGGGATTGTGCCCGTGGAGGAGCACCCTTCGCCCGACCCCGTCGGGAAGGGGGGTGCCTCACCGGCAGATTACGTTCAGGAGTGCAGACACCCACTCATATATTATGATTATTCGAAGACACAGTTTCCAGCAAGACAGAGGAAGAGCGCAGGCAAGAGTATATTTTCTCGAGCAGATTCGCACGCTCACTACTCAAGAAACTGGGGGACTTGTGTTGGGATATATTATCCCGGCCTATTACTGTTCAGGAGCCCAGGACATTATCCAGTACGGAGCCCGAGCAGCTAGGCCCGTTTCGGCCCATTCTGGCCCACTTTAGCCATTTGGGCCCATTCCGGTCCATGCGGCCCGTTAGGGTGGAGAGCCCCCTTTCCCCCCTATTTCCTATAAATATGGAGCTTAGCCTCCATGTAAAGGATCCTCTTTTAGCTCCATCCTCCTTCTTTTAGACTTAGCTCAATACTCCATTAATGGGAGCTTGTACAATGTAATTGTGAGGAGAGTCCTAATGAGAAAGAGAGGGCTTGGACATTAGCCTAAAAAGTCCCGTGGTTTTCTCCCTTTCGGGTTTCCACGTAAAAACTGAGTGTTCATACATATATTTACTATATCGTGTTGGATTAAACTCAACACGTTCTGATATAATAGTCGGAGGATTAAAGTCACAAAAAATCATCAAATGAATTAAATAGGCCAAGTAAATAAGTGTAATAATTGCTTCCTAGGGGAAGCCTATATCATACAATCGGTTGTACTCATACAGCCGGTATCAATTTTGTAATTTTTCGTAAAAAATCGCAAATACTGTTAATTGAGCACCAATACACTTTTATTGAGCATCAAGACTATCCTATTGACGGTTAGGAGCCTATTATTGAGTATCGTTATATGTGCTCCATATTTTCTAATTTACTTTTGTTTTTTCTTTTAGAGAAAACTGTCAAATAGGTCCTCGAACTTTCATAAAAAGGTCAATTAAGTCCTTCTATAGGAGGTTCTGTCCGGCCGTCGCGATTTGGGGCAGTTCCCGGTGGAATTTTTTGATGAAATGTTTTGAGCATCTTATTCACCAAGTCTAGTTTACTCATACCAAAATTCAGCTAAAAAATCAATCGGGAACACATTCAAATTAATTCTTGAAGATAACTGCGCATTTTTGCGTTCTCGAATTATTTGACAGAGTTGATGAATAAGATGCTCAAAAAATTTCATCAAAAAATTCCACCGGGAACAGCCCCAAATCGCGACGACCGGACAGAGTCTCCTATAGAAGGACTTAATTGACTTTTTTATGAAAGTTCGAGGACCTATTTGACAGTTTTCCCTTTCTTTTATCATTATCATCTTGAGTATTTATAATCAAGTCATATGAATTTCAATTTTCAATATGTGAATCTAATTTAATATTATACTTTTCAAATACATTGATATGAAAATCATAAGCTTTGTTAGTTAAGTATCAAGACATTTTCATTGAGCATCAAACCTCCTCTATTGAACATTGGAAATCTACAATTGAGTATACAATTTTCTGAAACTTCATTTGAACATCAAAACATTTCAATTGAGTATCTTGTTCTATACTATTGATCACCAAGATTATGTGTTGAGCAATCGAACTCTCAAATTAAATACAATGGGCTGTTAGGGGCTGGCCATGGCAGAACATCCAAGGGTTACTGTCGGGAAACTTCACAATTGGCGGGAAGCCAATTAATGCATGAGATCTGGAGGATTTTATGGTTGGGAGATCATCCACTCAGGGTCGGCCACGTAACCCTCTCCAACCACTCACTCCTAGTATAAATATCAGCATTTATTTCATTGTAAGGGTTAGCAATTTTGTACTCACAACACTATACTTCCCTCTAGCTCTTGTAATAGCCTTAAGGTCTGCCTAGGATCGAAATTCTTGTTCGACAAGTTATTGTAACGAGGCCGTTTACTGAAATAGAGTTGGGTTATATGGATCTTATTGTCATTATTCTCTTCCATCTCACTCGCTGACGTGCACTTTGTCGTGTGTGCACTCAAAATAAATATCAATACGACACTAATACGTAGTATAGTGTAGTAAGGTTCGTATCCACAGGGAAAGGAACACTTCTCTTTTTATAAAACTAGAAATAAGTAACAAGGGGGTTTTTTATGATTGGTTTCTGAACTTAAATTATGTTTAAACACAAAGATGAACGAGTTATGTGGTTTACTTTAATAGAGATGGAGGCTTGGTTTTGCTTTTATCCACTTAATGAAATGTTCGTCGATCCCGGTTATATCTTTAACTATCTTCCTCTCGAATACTCAATCGAGGAGTATATCCACTTCATCGAGGGTAGTTATTAATAACGAGATGCGTTCATTAATAAAACTTACTATCGAGTCAATATAGAACAAGCGCCGTATATTAACTTGATAGTAGCAATAAGCTTAAGATGAAAACGATTGAGATTGATAACCTCAACACAAGCGGTTTATTGGTTTAATCAATATAATTAATTCCACTTGGCTTATTAACCATGAGAAGCATGCATTAACAATCCAAGTTTACTACCATTGAAAGAACCGAATTAATAACAAGCGTATTAACCGATTGATTCTAGTAATAATTAATATATGAAACAAAACTAGTTGATCTTTTAAGTAATGCTCAAGATATTAATATGGAATATGAATAGGAAGTAATTGATATTCAAGGAAGAAGATTAAAGAAAATAACTCACAACTTACAAATCATTAAGCTTCAAAGTAGCAAAACCAAGATGAAAGAGTTTAGCTCCTCATTTGGAGACTAAACATGATGAAAAAATATAAAGAAAGAACTTGTCTAAACTGAGCTAAGAAGTATATGTGAATTGTTATCTAATTGTGAAGGAAAGAGAGTGTATTTATAGGCTTTTTAGGGGTGCAGCTCGGGGTACTCGATCGGGTATATAAAGGTACCCCCGATTTGAGTATGTGTAGAAACTCGAATTCGACCCATACTCGATCGAATTCAGTATTATTTATGTGTATACCCGATCGAGTATGTCGGTGTACCCGATCAGGGTATAGACACTCGATCGTGGTTAAAATCTTCCTTGCATGTTCCTTTGTCTTCGGATCCGATCCGATTTGAAATTTCAACAAGATACCCGATCGAGTATAGATGATACTCGACCGGGTATAGACCAAAAAAATCAGGATCTT